AGCTCAACATTTAAAATTGGGTGGATAACATCAAATCAAACAAATCCTGCGGTAATTTATCCGCCTAAAAAATTAGGTTTCAATCTTTGTCATTAGAACACAACGAAACCTTATCCATAGTATGGTCTCAACATTCAAAGATCAATGATGCAATTCTCGTGCCTATCCGATCAACAGAAATATTGCTAAATATAAAAATACGGTAGATTTCAGCAGACTCGTGACCGAGGTTGAAACTGCGAATTGATCTCAAATTGATTTCAATCTGATCCATTCATCCTAGAATGATCACCAACCATAATAAAACTCATTTATTATCATTTAAATTATTTTTAAATTTTTTAGGATTTTACATTCACCCCTCCTTAAAGATAATTTCGTCCCTGAAATTTAGCAATTTAATCTTAGAGGTTAATAATACGAGAAAAGCACGTTGAGGGGATAATTCAAACAAGGAAAACCTCATGTACACATCTCATATCATTAATCACAAGATATGGATCAAGCATGAAATACTTACACTTAACATCTAGAATGTGAATACCTCACTTAACCTCTAATTAGACAAAACTAGTACGTCGGGCGAATAAATCCAAATAAGGATCCCCCATGTATATACCATATGTTCCGAATGATTAGTCATTAAGTGTTAATATCCACATTCCGATATGAAATGTAAATGTGACTATATAGATAAGATAAATACCAATAATATTATAATTAGTAATATACCTGCTCGAATAGATGTGGGTAGTCGCGACACATATCCTCCTCTCACTCCCAAGAAGCTTCCTCAACTCCCTTCCTGTTCCACTAGACTTTAACCAATGGAATTACCTTATTTTGAAGTTTCTTGTCCTCTTTGGCAAGAATGCGGACTGGAGTCTCAGCTGTAGTTAAGTCCACCTGACGCTCCATAACTGTCATATCCACAACCCTCTTCTGATCTTTGTCTCGTATGTGCTTTCTGAGCATCGAGATGTGGAAGACATCATGCATACCCGACATCGATGCTAGAAGGTCTAGTTGGTATGAGACGGCTCTAACATGGTTGACTATCCTGAACGGCCTGATATATCTCGAGGCAAGCTTTCCCCATATGCCAAACTGTCAGACGCCCTCTATAGGTGAGACCTTCAACAAGCAGTCTCCAATCTGAAACTCTAAGGGTCACCACCTCTGATCTGCGTAACTCTTTTTCCAGCTCTGGGCTGCAAGAATACACTCTCAAATCAATGCCACTTGTTCAGTAGTCTGTGTCACGCCCCGCTTCCCAAATTACCGGGAAATCGGAATGTGAACAAACCTGCAACATATTAGATTAAGGAGAATAAATAAAATAAATATTTCTCCTCAACCTAATACGCTAAGCGTCTGGAAATAAAGACAATGCAAAGTCACAGGTCCCCGATCACAATAGCGAGAATATAATAAGCAACTCAGAAAAGAAAGATCCATATCACAAATATAATATCATCCCAGACATAATATTCGGGGTCAACATGCCCTTATACAAAACGATCTGAATGAAATACTAGAAAATATAATATACATCGATCAAACTAGAATGGAAAGTGCTACAAAAGTAAACAAGGAACATCGAACAACTAAATAAAATAACTAAGCTTCAGCTTCTGGGTCATCTGGCTCCGGCATATCTCCAAGTTGGACACGTCCGTCATCTAAATATGATGTACACCAGATAAAATAGGTGTACGTCAGCGTACATGACACACGACAAGATCCCACAAAATGAATGGAACGATCGAAAACCCAAGCGGAAAACAATACAAATACAAAAATGATAAAAAGACGTGTAACTGGAGATCTAACAAAATCAATCAAGTAACAAGTCGATCATGCTGCTAGTCATCAGAATAATCATCCAAGTAACAAGATCATACGACTAGATGGAATTAATACTTAAAAATCTACAACGAGAGACGTAGTACGTCGAGCGAAATAATCCAAACAAGGAAACCCTCATGTATAACTATATGTCTCAAATTATAGATAATTAAATATTAATCCTGATCTATGTATGAAAAGAAAAACAACTGGCCTACATCTCACAAGAAACCATAATTATCCAAGTAACGTGGTCACACAACTAACCATCCTATCATAACTCACTTGTCCGTATCTCACAACACGTACTCATCCAAGTAATAATGTCAGGTAACTAGCCATTCTATAACAGGACACTGGTACATATCTCACACAGAGTCAACGCTCCTGTCATCGGATATTGACTGTTCACAAATCCCCTACGTGTACCCAATACGCCGCTACACTAGACCGGTCAGAGGGCTATACGTAATCTGATTCCAGCCTGGTTCGAACTCAAGTAAGAATCAGGTGAATATTAAACTCACGGACCAAAGTGACTACACTGGATTCACTTTGACCCAACAAACTAACCCCAAGCTACATTGGATCATGGGCGAGCCTGGAATATACATCAACAGCTATATCCGATCACATGAACATGGACTTCCCCATCCTAACTCTTCTCGTTTTTCTAAATCGACAGTTGTATTCTACACTGAAACTCTGGTTCACCACTTAAACTCAGTCAACACACCGACACATATCACTAGGTCTGTTTATGACACACGAGGCCACTAAATCATGAACTACTAGGGTTCTCAATCACAACAAGAAGATAATAAATACAAACGATCTGGTACAACGATTACATAGCACATCACGTAATTAAAGTGAGAATCACACATTCAAAAATAATCTTTTAAATTAATAAATTTATTTAATTCAAAATGATTTCTTTATTCAAAATAAATCCTTTATTTCTTGTTATAATTATCCAACTATAATTCCATTTTCCAAAATAACTCCTTTTAAATAATTCTAAAAATATTCTTTAAATATTCTTTTTAGTATTCCCTCTTCCAAAATAATTTTTGTTCTAATTATAATTAATCTAAAATAATTCCCTTTTCAAAATAAATTCCTTTAATTTATCATAATTATTCTAAAATGATTCTTTTCTAAAATAATTTCTTTTAAATTATATAATTATCTAAAATGGTTTCGTTCTCAAAATAAAATTCTTTTTAAAGTAGCATAATCATCTAAAAATAATTCTGATACCGAAATAAATTCTTTTAAACTTATTTCTTAATAATTCAAAATAATCCTTAGAAATATTATTTCTTTCAAAAACATCTCATAAATAATTATAATCTAATTGTCATAGTATCCTTTCTTCACATACGGCTCAAAATACATATCATACCACTCTTCACGAATATCACTACAACACTAATCAATGATATATATTATCATTCGTTAACAATCTCACGCAGGTTATAACATATCGCAGTCTATTATATACAATCAATTAAAACATATATAAATAATGGAAATACAAGTCAAGGGAAGCAGGATCTTGCCTTGGGGTTTTGTCGAACTAATCGACGTCGACGTGCAAGTCCGTAGTGAGGCAACGACAGCACACGGCTGGCGATATGGCGAACTACAAGTTGAGGCTGATGGTGCGGCAGGGGGGGGGGGGGGGGCTGCGAGGGAGGGGGGGTGCGGACAACGCGCTCAAGCGGTTAGCGGTTGACTGAGCGGAGAAGGGACAACGGTGAGAGGGGGGCCTAACGACACGCAGCGGCTAGACGTCCGCTGCTGAATCGGCTGTTTCCGGTGACGCGCCTCAATGAGGTCAGAGGACAGTGGCAGCCGGCAAGAGGATAGTTTGAGGGTGGTGACTCGCTGAGGGTAGAGGGTCGCCGCATCTGCTAAGGGCGGTGGGAAGAGGAGGCAGGATGGTGGCTGTTACATGGAGACTCGGTGTGCGCATGAAGGCGGTGATGATGGGGCCGACAACGAGCGGAAGGAGCAAACAGATGTAGGTTTGCACGTTAGTTTTAATAGAGGGAGTTGAGCTCACTGATTGGATGGGGGTGGAGCTCGGGATGATGATTGGTTGGCACTCGGTCGTTGAGTCGGATGGCAACGACGATACAACTGAGACAGTGTGGCGGATTGAGGTTGTGGGCGGTGGCGTGATGATGATGAAGCAGCAACGAGGTGATGGTGCGCTTTGGATCATGAGAGGGAGCTGCGCGATGCGAGGAGAAGAGAGCTCAGAGGAGGATGCTCGACTTCGGTTAGGGTGTTCAGGAGGAGACGATGATGTGGCGTCAGAGCTCTGAGCTGAACTCGAGGTCTTGGTAGTGGCGTGGTCGAAGCTTGGGGCAGAGGTGGAGGATGGGGGCTAGAGGCGCGCAGGGAGTGGGGCTTTGGATTCGGGTTCTTTAGAGAAGGAGGAGGTGGAAGATGATGGTTGTGAAGATGGAGCAGGGGGTGGGGTTTCTTTTGAGGGGGGAGAGAGAGAGAGAGTACGAGATGAGGGATAGGCGTGATGGGGTTTTCTTGGAGAGAGTGAGAGGGGGATGTCGGCGGATGGGGGTTGGGTCAGAGAAGTGAGGTGTGCGGGGAACGAGATGGGGATTTTGGGGAGTGGGGTAGGAGAGAGAGAAAATGAGAGAGATATATCATAGGTGGGAGAGGAAAACATAGGGAAAAATATTCCTTTAAAATAATATAAATAATAATAATAACAATGAATAACCAAACATTAGTTTAAAAGTCTTTACCGTAACAACTAAATTTATAATTGGCAATAGCATTAAAATAAATATAAAAATCGTATTTTTAAAACATAAAAAATCCTAAAAAATTAGGGAAAATATAAATACTCTTTTTGAAAAATAATATTTAATATTTAAATACTAGAAAAATTTATTTAAAGTGGTATCGAAAATCACGGTCCTTACATCTTACCCCCCTTAAAAACAAATTCCGCCATCAGAATTCAAAATAAGAATGATGCACAAAACCAAGGACATAAATATAGAACTAAAGACTCACTTTAACTCATATAGAGAAGGATTCAGGATATACTGCATGTTCATAAGCAATGGGAACGTACTACATGAACAATACAATTAAGATACAAGATGTGACAGCTAAAATTCAAGAAACAGATGCGGGTATCGCTGTCGCATCTCAGACTCAGTCTCCCAAGTCGACTCGCCAGGAGAATCTGGGTGCCACATCTCACGAACGAGTGTACTAGTCTTGTTCCGGAGAGTATTCTCTCTTCGGTCCAGGATCGCCACAGGCTGCTTCTCATATGTCAGATCAGGTCGTACCTCAATCTCCGAGAAATCTACGACATGACTCGGATCTCCGACATATCTTCGCAACTGAGAAACGTGGAATACGTCATGCACTCCAGCTAATGCGGGTAGTAATGCAAGTCGATACACCACTTCTCCAATTTTCTCTAATACGTCAAAAGGTCCTACATATCGCGGGGTCAACTTCCCACGCCTTCCAAAGCGAATAGTGCATCGGTTGGGGGAAATCTTCAGGAACACATGATCACCTGGCTGAAACTCCAAGTGTCGACGCTTCGCATCTGCCCAATGCTTAAATCGGTCCTGCGCTATGCGAAGTCGCTCCCGAATGATCCTTGCAGCATTAACTGACTTGGCAATCAGCTCAGCCCCAAAAATCTCTTGCTCACCAACATCGTCCCAACTCAAAGAAGAGCGGCACTTCCTCCCATACATTGCCGCAAAAGGGGCCATTCCAATGCTAGCCTAGAAGCTATTGTTGTATGCAAACTCCACCAAATGTAGATGATCTTCCCACGACCCGTGAAAATCAAGCATATAAGCTCTAAGCATATCCTCCAAAATCTGAATAGTCCTCTCCGACTGTCCATCGGTCTGAGGATGATAAGCTATGCTAAAACTAAGATTGGTCCCAAGACTCGCCTGCAAACTCTTCCAGAACTCTAAAGTAAATCGGGTATCACGATCCAAAATGATGCACACTGGAACTCCGTGCAATCTAATAATCTCCTCCATGTATCTCTGAGTAAGATGCTCCGTCAACTGTCCTACTCGGAAATTAATAAAGTGAGCCAATTTGGTTAATCGATCTACGACCACCCAAACAACGTCATTCTGTCTAGTGCTTGTTGGACCCTAGAGGGGGGGGGGAGGGGGGGAGGGGGGGAAGGGGGGGAGGGGGTGATTAGCGTCTCAAGGCTCAAATAATGTACTAAAAATTGAGACAATCAACAAACCACAAAATGAACAACAGTAGAAATAGAGATAGAGTTAGGAATCGTTATCCTTGTGACGCGCGATGTGTTAACAAGGTTCGGTCCGCTGACCTACGTCCTCACTCCCCACTCTCGAGGAGAAATCCACTACACAACCCAGTTTGGAAGCCGGAACTTTTTCTACACAACAATCTCCACAAGATCTCACAACTACACAGTTGATCACCACAAGATCACACTCCCACATAGTTAATCACCACAAGATCACACTCCCACATAGTTAATCTCCACAAGATCAAGCTCTCAAAACAGTAGTAATGGTGTAAGAACTCTCTCTTTATAATATCCCTATGGCAAAGAGAAAGATTACACTGAAGCTGGGATATGAACACAAAAACTCAGAAAACCAGGTTTGAAAATTTTACTCTCAGTAAAACAGTTCTCTGATATTTTTGAAAATGGCTGGGACAATGAGGAAGAAGGAGTGTATGAGTTTAAATAGAAGAGAAACAGCTGTTTGAAACCCATACCCTAATCCCCCAAAACCTGGAAACAATCGGTGCCAAAATCTGTACTGAACCCATACCCCAATCCCCCAAAACCTGGAAACAATCGGCGCCGAAATCTGTATTGAAAGAGACCGTTTGAATAAGCGGTGGTCGACCGTACCATTTTCGCGGTCGACCGCGAGACAGCTCAGAAACAGAGAAAAAGTCCAGAGACTTCTACGGTCGACCGTGGGAAATCTTGAGCTCACGGTCGACCATGGCGGTCAACCGTGAAAGTTTCTGCTGCCCACTGACGAATGAACTCAGGCGCGGTCGACCGTGGTAGTCGACCACAAACTGACACATACAAAAATACTGATTTTGACTATCTTAAAAATTCTGTAAAATATTTAATTGATTTCAAAAAATTGTAAAACTTTGTAAAATGTTTTTGACACTAAAAACAAATTGTTTAGAAAAAGAATTTTGCTGATAGGTCCTCATACTTGTGAAAATTAGTATTTTGTGAAAACACTCAAAACTATAAGTATGAAAACGTGTGTATGATATCCCAATAGCTTTAAATGAAATCTAAACAACTTGCCTACATTTTAGCACTAGAGAGAAAATGAAAACTAGCTAATATCCTTACGTAGAATACAATTCTTTGAGTCTTGATATAGCTTGAGTTTGATGAAGCTTCTTATTGCATTTAGTGTTCTTGAATGAACGTTGCTTCATCATTATGCCTCCTCCTCCTTTGGATATCATCGTTGTAGTGCATATTCCATCCAATCCTCCATAAGTGGTACTAATATGCTTGATATATATATTAACTACATTTTCACTCAACAAGTAATTAGTACCGATAATGGTGATTGTAAAACATCATCAAAACATAAGGGCTAACAATCTCCCCATTTTTTATGATGATAACCAACCATTATATAAGAGCAAAATAAATATAGCTTATAGATAGTAGCTCCCCTTATCTATAAGCTCCCCCTTACTATGTGTACAAATGAGGAGATTTCTCTCCCCCTTTGGCACCATCAAAATTGGATAAAAAAATAAACAAAAATGCATGTGAAATGCAACTAAACAAGCAAGCAAATAGAACTTTCACATAGTGAATAAGCCCAAACCATTTCTTATGCGATAAAAATCATCTTCATCAAGAGGCTGGGTAAAAATGTCAGCTAATTGAGATTTTGTGTCAACAAACACAAGGGATACATCTTTTCTCTCTACATGATCGCGTAAGAAATGATGGCGCACATCAATATGCTTGGTTCTAGAATGCAAAACCGAATTTTTTGAAATATTGATAGCACTAGTGTTATCACAAAAGATTTTTATATTTTGAAAATTCAAATCATAGTCAACTAAGCTTTGTTACATCTACAAAACTTGGGCACAACATAAGCCGGCGGTAATGTATTCCGCTTCCGTAGTGGACAATGCAACACAATTTTATTTCTTGGATGCCCAAGAAACAAGAGAATTTCCCAAGAATTGGCATGTTCCACTCGTACTCTTGCGATCTACCTTACATCCGGCAAAGTCGGCATCACAAAAACCATATAAATCAAAAGAGGTGCTTTTTGGATAAAATAAACCAAGAGCAATAGTTCCATGCACATATTTAATAATTCTCTTAACGGCAATCAAATGAGATGCTTTAGGAGAAGCTTGTAAACGTGCACATGCACACACACTAAACATGATATCGAGTCTACTAGCGGTGAGATAAAGAAGACTACCTATCATACCTCGGTATAGTTTTTGGTCAACATCCTCACCACTATCATCCGCATCAAGCTTGACACTTGTACTCATGGGAGTTGGTGCATGCTTAGAGTTCTCCAAATTGAATTTCTTCACCAATTCTCTAGCATATTTGCTTTGAGAAATGAATATCCCATCCTTAGTTTGCTTGACTTGGAGTCCGAGAAAGAATGTGAGCTCTCCCATCATGCTCATCTCAAAAGGATCTTGCATCAGTTTAGAAAAATCCTTGCAAAGAGATTCATTAGTAGCACCGAAAATAATATCGTCAACATATATTTTTACTAAAATAAAATCATTTTTCCTTTTTCTCACAAAAAGAGTATTATCAATTTTTCCTTTAGAGAAACCATTTTCAAGAAGAAAACTACAGAGGTGAGCATACCAAGCTCTAGGAGCTTGTTTCAGCCCATATAAAGCTTTTTGAACCCGGTAAACATGATTAGGAAAAGTATGATCTATAAAACCGGGGGGTTGCTCAACATATACTTCATCTTCTATAAATCCATTTAAAAAGGCACTTTTAACATCCATTTAAAACAATTTAAAAATTTTTAAAGCTAGCAAAAACCAAAAACATCCTAATAGATTCCAACCTTACAACCGGTGCAAAGGTTTTGTCATAGTCTATGCCCTCCTCTTGATTGTATCCTTGGGCAACTAAACAAGCTTTATTTCTAGTAACAATGCCATGTTCATCAAGCTTGTTTCTAAAAACCCATTTAGTACCAATAACACTAGCATTGTTAGGTCTAGGAACTAATTTCCAAACATCATTTCTTCGAAAATTGTTTAGTTCATCATGCATAGCTAAAACCCAAAATTCATCATTTAAAGCATCATTAACCTTCTTAGGTTCTAATTGAGATAGAAAAGCAACATTACCACACTCACTCAAAGTCTTTGAGCGAGTAACAATCCCTTGTGAAGGACTCCTAATAATTTGCTCATTTGGATGATTTGATACGAATTTCCATTCTTTGGGGAGTTCTTCTTGTACATGAGTGTTGGTGCTTTCCACATCTTTTTGTGCTTCTATTGAAGGTGTATTTATAGGTTGCAAAAATTCCAATCCTCCCTCAACAACATCATCATCTTTCTTAGGCAAAATAACTTGTGAACCAATATTAGTCTCATTAAAAGTAACGTTTATAGATTCTTCAACAACGAGAGTTCGTTTGTTGAAGACCCTATAAGCCTTACTTCGAGGTGCATAACCTAAGAAAATGCCAACATCAATTTTGGAATCAAATTTATCATGGTGATCTTTTATATTTAAAATAAAACATTTACAACCAAAGATACGAAAATAACCAATAAATAGAGTTTTTCTATAAAATAGTTCATAAGGAGTTTTCTTAAGCTTTGGTCTAATTAAAACACGATTTAAAACATAGCAAGCCGTATTGACGGCTTCCGCCCAAAAATATTTAGGCAAATAAAAAGAGTTCAACATAGTTCGTGTCATCTCTTGTATGGTTCTATTTTTTCGTTCAACAACACCATTTTGTTGTGGTGTTCTAGGAGCAGAAAACACATGAGTTATACCACGATGAGCACAAAAATCATAAAAAGAGATATTTTGAAATTCACCACCATGATCACTTCTAATCTTAACAAATTTTAAATTTTTTTCATTTTCAATTCTTTTAACATGATTTGAAAACTCATCAAAACATTCATCTTTACTAGTAAGAAAAATTGTCCATGTAAAACGAGAAAAATCATCAATGATAACAAAAACATAGTGTTTGCTTCCAAGAGAGGTAACACGCATAAGACCCTAAATAAATCAATATGAAGTAATTGCAAAGGTTTAGAAGTTGATATACCTCATTCATGGATTTGAAGGTAGACTTAGTTTTGTTTACCTTTAGCACAATCTTCGCATATGGTATCTTTGATGAAATGCAAGTTTGGTAACCCTTTAAAAAGATTCCTTTTGGACAATTTAGATATCAATTACATGTTTGCATGATCAAGCCTTTTATGCCAAATCCAAGGGTTTTCATCAATTGCCGCAAGGCACTTCACATCTTGATTCACTAATTCATTCATCTCAAAAATGTACACTTTAGATTTTCGATTAGCAACAAAAACAATTTTTTCATTCATACTAATAATGCATTTGTCTAGTTTAAAGGTAATATCAAAACCTTTATCACTCAATTGGCTAATGCTAAGAAGATTGTGATTCAAGCCATTAACCAAATAAACATCTTCTATAACGGGAGAGGGTGTC